TCCTCCTTGGCCGTCTTCTGCAAGTGCATGATTGTACGTGAAGAAGAATAAGTGAAGAGAAGCAATTGACATCAAGCGACACAATGTGACGTCACTGCGAGCTAAAGTTTCTTGTAACCTTGCACAAAGGACCAACGATTCTGTGTACATGGGTAGTAGTAATGCTGGAGGCGGTGGGGGTAGTTCTATGTATGTAAATGGATTGAGCAAATCAATGAGTATATCAATGAGTTCAGTGCTGTCTACTTGCGCCTCCTTAAAGACCCAATTTCCTGCTGGGCCGGCGTACGAAAAAAACAAACAACCAGTAGCATAAAAATTGTACAACAGAGAAGTTTGCTTTCGTCTTCGTACTTTTGATTCCTTGTCGTCCTCGGAGGCATAGGCGTGGGTGAAGAAAGAGGTAGCCGCCGCTTGCACCAGCTTACCAAGTGCACTGCCTTCCTCTCCGGGCCCTTTACCTGCAAAATAAATATGATTAGGCGTTGACGAATGTGTACTACTCCCATGTTAATATGAAACAGTAATCGTATATACGTGACAAGAAAAGCACTAAAGTGCAAACCTCGGCGAAAGATGACGAAAATGTAAAACATGAAAAATTGAATTCTAATTCTAACTGTAAACTTTTGCTTCACAAATGAAATATGCTAACACACCAGTCAAGTGAATGGCACTTGCAATAGAAAGGGACAGAAAAAAGACTAGTTGCTAGGTTATTGCATGCATACCGGCATCAATGGTGCGTCTGGTCATTGCAGGTGTGGGGGAGAGAGGTGACATCATCGCAATGCCAATCTTGTTGTCAAGACCACTTAGCAACACACGGGTCAGCTGCAACAACTTCGAGAAGTTGTAGAAGCCAAAGTACACCATCATCCTCGCCAAACACACAACCTACAGCCACAGGATAACTCATGATGTCATTATTACATCATAGATTAGGATGTCATCATTTTAAAAACATTTCGCTGCCTGACATCACAGAGATACAAGACAAGATTGTACCACATATCAACCATTTGCTCCATCGACATCATCATAAGCACCATTTTTACACAGGAGTATGACATCATTACTACGTCATGGATGATGATGTCATCATTACCTCATAGGTTAAAAGGTTCTGTTCCTTGTCTTCAAAGCTCCAGACAGAAGGAAGTGCCAGATACTGTTCCACAAACTCCATCGTCTTCAAAATACGTGCCTTCTGTCGAAACAAGGCATCGATAAGTAATCACAACGCCAGCCAGGCTAAAAACATGGATAAGGAACGCAAACTGTTGCTTGCATGCACCCAGGGCACCTCTCAAAAAGGTGATGTAGTGTAATTGATTGCCTTGTGTTTTACACCTCGAGATTCATGCATTCCTAAAACTTGCAGATATGAATACGCAGGACACGTATAATTATACGGTTGGTACAATTTTACAAACCTCTGCCTCTTTGTGTTTGGTTTGTTTGAATTTCTCTCTTCGACACTGGGCTGGATCTCTTAGAACATCGTCACTCCTACGTACAGTGGAAAAGAACGATTGGGTAAAACAGTATTTTTTGAGATACACTCTGATCTCAGTGAGTGTGTGGCCAAATCTCAATAACCTTCACCTATTACTTTTGCCTTTGCACGTTATGGACCTTTTTGTGCATTTTGAGGGCATACGCCCCTTCACATGCCTAGACTGACACGTTCATGTGTCCGAGTCCCACCCAGGGCAGCAATTATTTTGGGCTTTGCAACTACTTCTCTTCGAAAGAAGATGAACAAAACCCCCTCAACGATGCTACATACGATGTGCATCCCGATCCACTGTAATAGCGACTGATATCTCGTTTCTTCAGCTCCCTTGCATTGATGCTTGTTGGATATCCCTAGGCAACCGACGTGTATGAAGCTAGGTACTGGGGAATTTTATCAGCCTATACAATCCTACATGTGCAAGCAGGGTTCATACACTAAGTACAACTCCGTACTTACCCTTCTGTATTAGTAGGGGACATGGGAGCATCGTCTTCATCTGGTGGCATTTGACACTCGAGACTTGTACCACTGGAACCTTTACTGCTAACCAGCGCCGCTCCGACTTCGTGCATGAATGATGAACCACTCATACCACTGAGATGGAAGGGAGGGAGAGAGGGGGAGGAGAGAGTGGAGGAGAGAGGGGAGGAGAGAGGGGGAGGAGAGAGAGGGAGAGGGGGAGAGAGTAACGGAAGAACAACATGCATTCTCAACGTGAATGGACTATAGGCGTACGAATATAGCTCTGGGTGTTTGAGTCAGTAACTCACGTCTCAAGCCATGGAGAGTATTCGCTGACGCTGGTAGTGCTGTCGGGGATCTGACTCCACAGTCTTGAATAGCCCACCGGGTTCACAGTCTCTTGAGGGTTAATGTCTAAATGGACGCACTGCATGATGTGACTGAACCCAGCCCGCAGACTGAAAGGAAGTGCCTTGTTCTCTGTGCACCTGCACACATGGAACAACATGTATCGACAACATCCGTGACATTCTTGTATGACTCTGGAGCCTATAAGAATACTTTTAGCAAGGAACTAAGAGAGATATACATTCTAGCAAGGAAATAAGGAGAGCATTCCCGAAATGCTTAAACTATGAGCCTGTGACCCAGCGAGGTATATAGTAGGTGTAGCTGAAGAGAAAGGTCGGCACAACACATACGTGCATAAACACAGCAAAAGAGCCTTTTACTCTACCGAGCTGATTGTCAAAGGGAACACACTAATGTATATATGAGTGATAGACAGTCATCATTTTTGTCTACCATTTGCCAAGGGCTTTAGTAAAAGGCAAAAATTCCAGGATCAATTCTTGCCGTAAATGAATGCATATGCATCATGTCACACTTCATAAAATCCAGGCATGGTTAGTTAGAATACGTGACGCTCATAAACGTCCATTATCCATGAGCATATTCACTAGCAATTTAGTGTCGTGCTATTGTGCATAGTGCACTAGCTTCATTGATTGAAAAGAGTGGCATACATTGCGTAGAGAAAAACTTTACGAGTTACGTAACAAGTATATGGTAGTACTTAGTATGGGCAGGGTACCTAGCATCACAGATCTATATGGGGCTATGATATATATATAGGCTGTTCATTCTCACACTTCTTTCTCTTCCTTCTTTCTATATAGTATGTAAGTAAAGCGTGAGCTGTTATTTTACATGTATACAAAGTACACCCGGCTGTAATATTATATACAAGCTTACTGGAGTACGATATCGATGGGCAACATCTCCTTGATCTTGAGAATGGCCAGATACTGTCTGTTGAAGCACATGTTACAGAACAGCTGCAACTGAGCAGTGAAATAGTCGAGATTCTTCGTGTCGTCTTCGTTTCCCGTCTTCGCTCCGTCGGCCAGCTGCATCTGGCTCTTGGAGTGGGCCACTCCCATCTCGGTCCAGTGCAGCACTATCTCCTCATTCTCCACACTACATAACATAGGTACATGACTTGGTGAACATGTGTTTCAACCATTGCCCAGCGTCAATGGCAGTAGTGCTACGGTTGCTGTACAAAAGTATACACAAAAGTGGCGCATATACATGTAGTGAGATTATGTCATGAATGCAGTAAATATCTGTTAAAAATTTTTTGGGCCCTTCTATTATACCTAGACATGATGTGTCTATATATGTATATAAGATGATTTTCATGCAACCCGTTTGTAGAATCCTGATGTACAACAACAATCCCTTCATGCAGAATGGTTTGAGTATACACACGGCCAGCGTCACATGTATTCATGCCTCTCAAATGACCCACTGTAAAACATGTACAACATGTACAACATGTATGTATGTACATACCTGAGTGTCATAAGTACATCGGCATTGGAATCCTTCAGGACCACCTCACACACCATTGCCTGCACTCTCTGAATGGCCATCCCTTTCGATACACACAGGTCTCCTATATACGTCAGGAACCTGGACATTAAAGGGAATGTGACATCACATAATTTTAAAATGGTGCTAAAGATAGAACAATGTTCTGTTCGGATAGACACATGTCTCCTACATACGTCAGGAACACGGACTGTACGTACTGTTTGCAGGAATTTATGGCGGATTTTCAATTTTGCAAAAGATTGCATCAGACATGTACAGTTCCCTATGCAAAACCTATGTTAAGGCCATTTTTTGGTTATATTATATATATAGCTTGTTGTGAAAAACAGTTGAATTCAAACCGGCTTATATGTACACATTAATTAGCCATGTGAAAAAACTAGTAGACAGTTTTATGGTAAAATATCCTGCACGCGAGGCTAACTTTTTGCTACAGAATATAGTCTGCAAAAAACATACTTTTTCTCCCGACTCTTGCGCAAGAGGTCCACAAACGTCTGAATCTCTTTCTTGTGGATGTGTTTCTCGAGCAGTTTGCTGTTGTTCCTCACGAGAGCCGCGATCGTGTCCTCTGCTCGAACCTCGAAGCCTATCTGACTCTGCATCAGTGACAGGTACTTGTTGGCTATCTCTTCCTGCGCAAGAAGGAGGGAGAGAGGGGAGGGAGAAAGAGGGAGAAGCAGGAGAGGGAGTGATTGGGGGGTGGGGGAGGTGCCTCGTTTGACCACATACGCATTACAAGACACACATATACATTTGGCTTTTTGACTAGACAGCGAGTATATACACAAGAAGGAGAAAGGGGGGAAGAAGGGAGAAGCAGGAGAGGGAGGTAGAGAGGGGGATGGGGGTGCTTCATTTGGAAATATACACATTACTAGACACACATACTATATACTACATTTCACGTTTTTGACTAGACAGAAAGTATGATACACAGGTTTAATGTGGATTAGAAGCCTAAGAGCCTCGCACTGCGGTGTTTCGAGCACAGCTAGGACTCTACTTAAAGGGTTTCTAAAGCATGAAGGTTTCGCTGACGAGCTATGTACCCAACATATTGTGAGCAAACTCTCACTGACAAGCACTTGATTTCACACGTGCATGGGTTGTGCAGGGCAACGGCACAGCAGACACTTGGAATTCATGACACATGATTTCATTCAACAAGATTTAGAAGACACGCAATTCGGTTTAAGTGAGCTCTAAAACTATGCTACATATACATACATATGTGTGTACATATGTATATAACACGTACATAGCAATAAAACATGGGTGACTAAGTAACTTGTTTTGCTTGCCAACAATGGGCACAGGCATATACAATCAACGGTACATGACAGGAGGTGACATAGGAATGCCTATTGCAAACCCCCCTCTGTCAAGAATGTATAGCATTTCCGCTAGTAAGATATCCTTGTGTACGTGACAGTGGTAGATTGGAACTGTGCCAAAAATCTGTGCATCCAATAGATTTTGCCCAACGGTCGTGTGTGGCACCGTGGATTGCTTGCCAAAGCTGTGTAATGTATATATTGCTGATTGGTGAGAATACGAAGAGATGAACAATGTGGATGTGGGCGAAATAGTGTTGGATGCTTTTTGTACTTTTAGCAAACACACAAAAGGAAAGACGGATTGACCAACAATCCCGAATATCTTGACTGTAGTTGTAGAGACATGTGCAACGATGACAAAACAATCAGGCACGTGGGGGTGAACATGCACTGACCAATCAAGATACATTGTCTGACCATAACTGGAGAGTTAAATCCCACATCAACAGCTACAACATAGCATAAGTAGGGGAAGAACAGACCATCAAACCATTTTGAGAAGGCTTATATAAACCCTTCTCTATAAGGATACCCCTAGGAGGACACATCTCTAATATGTATATATACACATTTTCTTTTCTGAACAAGAGTTTCTTCATACAATTAAATAGGGACACCTCAATGATACGGACACTTCAATTGGTGTCCAGATTAGAAGAGTTCCACTGTATACATGCACCTGGTTCTTTCTGTAGTTGGATTGCGAGTGTTGAATGACTCTGTAGCAGAGACAGAAGAGGTAGTGCATGGCATCGTATCTCTTGTCTGCCAGGTCAGCCATCTGGAACGTGGGCTGCACCTTCAGAGGGATCCGCAACAGGTGGAAGATCTGAAGTGTTTAGATGAATATCATTCAATAATTGGCAAGGAATCTTTTTGGGTTATGTTGACTAATAGTGCATGTGCAGTAAACACGAGGCCCATGCCCCCTAGTCTTGTGGGGCCATTTTGTAGCCAATTTCCAGGATGGCTGGCTTTGTGACACCAACTCTAATTCTTTTCCTCCCCTCACCTCCTTCAACCTTCACCCACCCCTCCCTCCCTCCCCTCACCTCTTTCAAAACCTCCTGTTCTCTGACGAGCTTCTGTCTGTCTCTGTCAGGTTCTCCCTCTTCTGTCAGAGCTGAAGGTCTCTGGGTAGATTGAGACGTTTCTTTCCCAATCACAAAGAATATCAGATCCTCTATCAGTCGAATTATGTACCTATGGCACATCATAGGGAAATACGACAGTCATAATTATTATGTGACACACACTTGTCACTTACATATAAGGGGATATATACAAAAGCAGAATGGACATAATATAAAGGGCAATCGGTGTGTACCAGAAATCATAATGGGAAATCCGATAGAGCTGTTGAGAGGCTTCTTATGTACATGTGCAACAACAATATTGGGTCATGAAAAAAAGAAAACTACAGCTTTGCACCATTTTCATGGTTCTAAGGTCAAAAAATAGTAATGGGCAACCTGAAAGCAGATACTGGCCATGCATTTAACTGCACCACTTAAACTTACGTTTTAGGCAAAAAATAAAATTATATGTTTGAAAAAAAGGCCAGCCCTTCCATGGATTGTTTTAGGCAATAAATTCTAAGGCTGAAAAAAAAATGGGCCAGCCCTAGACAGACGTCTACGGACGCAGTGCTATGCCGAACTGTACGCTGTCCTTTGAGATGTATGTGGGTCAGTGGTAGATTCATGGGTAAGGGGAGGAACCAGAGCTGTTCCCAGCCAATGCTCTGGACCACCTGACAGTTTCAGTGCGGGTCCGGGATTCGAACCGGGCACCTTATGTGTCAGTCCCCACGTCTCTAACCACTTAGCCACTTGGGCTGGCCACGAGAGCTGATGAAAAAACGTTCCTCTTATATCAACACTCATATTACATCATTATGAAAAAAAACCCACAGAGACAGGGATCGAACCTGGGACCTCATGATCAAGCGGGTGAATCCTTATCCACCAGACCACACCCAATACTTGGGAGGGGCAAGTTCAATATTCTAATATATAATGTATACCCACAATGCATCATGGGAGAAAAGTGAAAATGGATGTAACAGTAAACATGGAACTAAACGATACTGCCCAGTGAAGTATGTAATATAATAGCATTTTCTAAATGTAGCCCTTTCATTCTGCCACAGTCCAGTTAATTCCAAGGTTTGAGAGCCAACCCCAGAAGCTTATTTTATGTGAGCAACAACAATATGTAGGTTATTATCTGAGAAAAAAATCAGTGTGTATGTACTGGGGCAAGGATCCACGCTCAAATAATGGGGGGAATTCATGTAAATTTTTGTTTCTGGGCAAAAAAGTCGTACACATACACATATAATACAGGGCATGGGTTAGTGCAGTGGAAGTGGTGTGTTATGGCACACAAGAACAGCAATTGAAAATAAACAAGCTGATTTGTGAGCTCACTTCTTCTCGTTGGCAGTTGCCTGCTGTCCAGACTCGATTTTTGTAGCGATAGTCTTGATTGCTTTCGCGGCATCGTTGGCAAAGTCTAAATCTCTCACTTCTTGGGGCGGAACTGCCATGAGAGCAAACGCTTCCTTGTCCTCTCGCGTGGGTGCTGCACCAACCTGGGAGAGGAGAGGGAGAGAGAGGGAAGAGAGGAAGGGGGAGCAAGATGAGGAAGGTAAAGGGGAAGGGGGAGGGGGGAGAGAAGGAAGATATATATGAGGGAGGAGAGAGGGGGAAAAATGACAGACGAGAGGGGTGGGGGTGTATGGTGTATGGAGAGAAGAAAAAAGAGAGAGTGAGGGAATGCAATGAGAACAAGAGGAGGAATAGAGGAGGCAACGAGGAGGAAAAGAAGGCAGGGGTAGGGTGAAGAAAGTTACCCCATTAGGAAGATGAAAATAGGAGAAGAGAAAGGAGGAGAGGGTGTAAGGAGAGGAAGGGGGTAGGAAGAGAAGGGGGCAGGTTTGGAGAAGAAAGGAGACACTGAGGAGAGCTCCAACAATAAAAACGGAATGTTAAGATGAGGATTACTTCACAAACAGGGGGTGTCAAATTATGCAGCGTGGTGAACACAGCATACCTTATGCATGACCGGTTTCTCGGCATCCTTGTCGATGGGTATGGAGGTCGCGTGGACCCACGACTTTGTTCTCACGTGACGAAGACGGACGTAGGAGTTCCTGCAAAACAGAATCACACACCCCATTTGCGTTTTGACGGGTGACACATCTGGCCGAAATGGTGACGTGCGTGCAAACGAGGGGGAAAAAAGAGCTGTCCTAGGTGTAGTTGATTTGTTTGTTGTGCCTAATTTGCCCATAGTTTTCACATACAATTACAATCAGACGGTGAATTTAGAGGAGAGTCAATCAAATTGACCCACAGTTCTTGGAGGACCCACCCTCCTGCGTGCAACACCCACTGTTGAACATATAATCCCAATGGCAAGAAATTCCATATAGCAATACGTATAACATACGTATAATTATTATACACTTCACGTACTTTGGCCACACACCGTAATGTGCTAAATTATGGTCCCTAACCACACCTTACAGGCATATATATAGTGTTTACACAATCTTGAGTTATGGAGATAGGTTTTGCCATATTCGTACATTTCCGCATACTGTCACAACTCCCTGCAAAATCCTGCAAACAGTTTGGTTCTATCCCACAAAACCTCTCCATCCATGCAACAAACTTTGGGTGGTTGGGCAATTGAAAGCTAGTAGGTATTCATTACTTCACATTCCGGCAAATCAAGTGAACGGTCAAACTGACTTTGGCACGGTCTGATCTGTCTGTTGTATGGTGGTGGCCTCCAGCTCAAAAATAGTCAGCCACGTCTCAGTATTGTTGTCGTCGACCGTGAGATGATAGACGGTGTCCATCTGGCCCTTCAGTTTCTGTCTCACGGGGTCCAGCGTGCTGTCGTGGTCGACCTCGGCGGCCAGGTAGTGACCCGTCGCCAGGTGCTTGAATCTGTACAGGTTGTTCCAGTGACCGGCTCCGCTGCGACAGGGGTCATGGTTCACCACCTGGATGGGTGGACAGCGAGGAAAAAATATGGAAAAATTAGTCGGAAACTATATATTATGTATATACATACATTGTTGCAGCTGCAAAAATTTACGCAGTATAGTATGTGTAAAGTAATATCTGCAACTTTTTACGTAAAAAGTTAAGCGAACATTACACATGCTAAAACAAAGAAAAGGATTTTAAAAGATTGCACAGAAAATTATTTTTTGTGGCATATTTTTTTTATACGACAGTACACGTTGCATTATACGTACTTCAACCTCCCACATAGCCTTGGAGCTGGTGGCGTCAGTCCTCTTTATCCTGCCGGAGGTCCTGAGGAACACTCGTAGAGATCCCTCGTGTTTGTCACACGTCAGGAACTTCTCCTGCTCAGAGTGGAACAGTCGAACCACGTCCCCCTGTAATGTGTATATTTTAATAGCCTTTATGTACAGTCAAAAGTGTTACTGCACTGTCTTAGTGTATGGAGTCACAACAACAATTTATTACTGAAACAAGAAATTATCTGGAAAAAAAACAGCTCTTGGTAGTCACAAGCCTACACAGCCAGAGTATGCTTCACAAAAACTCTACAGCCCCCACCAACATAACACTCTATCATACTATATACACCGGGTCACAACATGAAAGGATGCACATATATAAGTTTAAGAGAGATGTCATACCATACCCCCTTCAAGACTTCAGGGTTATCCTCCTTATTGTCCATGAACAGAGATATCTTCCAACTACTGCACTCCCCTGCATTCACCTATATACAGACATAATGTATACAAAAACACAGTGGAACCTCTCTCTATATAAGGACACCCCCAAATAAGGACACTGCAGCAATATGTATGCATAAAAGTGATACAAACTTACCTCTTTGCAGTTGGGGTGGTCAGGAAGAGAATATTCACTGACGTGGAACGGCTGTTGTGCATTGACTGGCATCAGTATCACCTTGTCTCCTATCACAACCTACACATGTAACAATAGACCATGTGATGCCAAGAGAAAACATACACACATTCTGTAGTCAAGTATGTACCAATGGCATTAACATTGCATTTAATATGGAACATACTACGTAATACACAAGATGGAGGGTTTTTGGCGTCTTTACACAAATGGAACATATTTTTGCGAACGTGATTAGTCCAGTTTTTTTCGCACTTATAATATTATAGAATGACGTTCAATTCTCGAGCATACACTTATATACATAGGATCGTTCAGTATGTGTATGTGCAGTGCCCGTCACATAATCACATTACATGTAACATGTAAGAAAAACAGCATTCGGGCAACAAGGTGGCTCGCTTCGCTCGGTATTATTGCACTAAAATGAAGCAGAACTACTTTAGTTGTGGATAGTCTTGCACCCAGCATAGAAAACTACACCAAGAGAACAGCTAGAGAGGTAGAGGTGGATATTTTTCTTGATGGTGTAGTGAACTCACAGAGTCTCCAGGTGACCTTAGCTTGTAGACTGGAGTCAGTATGAACCACGCAGCCTGGGTTGGTTGGCGGGTAGGAGAGGGAGGGAGGGGAGAGGACATGATAGGGGAGGAGGGGAGGGAGGGAGGGAGGGAGGGAGGGAGGGGAGGGGAGGGGAGAATAACAGCCACAGAGAGTAAAACTAGACATGAAAAGTATATTTATAGCATACTAGCAACAGAGATAGAAAAGAAAGAAAACCAGAAGTCACCCTCCATCCCCATCTTCCACCCACACACATACACAGACACAAACAACACAGTTGCACACAACAAGGTAGGACTAGTAAGTCGTCATGTACTGGGGCATATATAACAAAAGCCCTAAAATCAAGAAAGAAGTACAGTATATAGCAATTCATGATTGGCTTGGTAGTGAGAGCAAATCAGTGTAATTTATTACTAGGAATGCGCACGCGCATATTTTGCCTCGCGCCTGCCAGCCAATGCGTAAACAGTCCGACTGAGGCCGCTCGTGCGCGCGCTCTACTGACTGCGTGCAAAGCCTGACTTCCTTATTATTATCTTGGAAAAAGGCTGAGAAGGAGAGGCGACCAGAGTTAGGGCAAGAATGAAAAAAGACTTTTTCAGGGCCCTGGGCCTTTAAAAATACTATGTATGAGGTGGATTGAGGCTAACCTGCGAGGGAAATGCAGGGCTGAAAGAAGAGTGCTCACCTCACTTCCCTGGTTGTCGAGGCTGATTCTCATGGCCCTCCTCTCTACTAGAGCCGGCAGTCTCTTCTGCACCGTCAGGTACTTGTTGCTCTTCACATGAACCAACTGCAACACGAATAACATTGTGGAGAACGAGGGTAAAGCAGAACGCTGTAAAAAAGGTAAAGTAATTAAAAAAGAGAGAACCTAGAACCAAGGTCAAGTAAAATGCCACATACAAAGTAAAGTAAAAACGCGAAGACTTAACTAAGGCCACTCTTATGCACGAAAATGTGCAGCATAAATGCCTTGTGTTGTATTGCTTGGACCTCGTGATTAGCTGCCCTGGTAGCTTAACACTCTAGAGAGCAGAGTGTCATGGGTTCGAGTCCACCCCACCGACAGTCATTGTTGATAGGTACAGTTGCATTGACACCCTGTGTACACTAACTCGCATTGAATTACTAAGTACCGTGGCACCATTTAAGTACCAGTGTGAATTAAATTGGATAATATTAAGTTATTGGCAAGCAGCGCAGTAAACGAACTGAAATTAATGTGAAACAAATTCTAATTGATTATGTCGGACTTTTACAATGTAATTACTGTTTTCCGCACATTTGCTGTGGTTATAATTTTTATGACATCCCAGACAGCTTCAGCCCATAATACAAAGGGTTATGTCGACTAGACAATGCAAGTTTTTTTTAAGTACTCTGCAATGCCAACGCCCTAGCCCTAGCCCTAGCCTTTAGATTTTGCAAGATTTGCGCAGAAGTAATTTTCAAGGTACATTTCTCAATTGTGTATAATTTTGCAGACTGCCTGAATTGTTAGTCACAAACATTTGTGCTACATTGTTAGAAAATGAAAATTGAAAGCAGTAGTCGGTGCATATTGGGAATTCCAATTGTTGTGAATATGTTGAGAATCCCCAGAGAAAGGATGACTCTGACACAGAAGAAGAAGAACTGTAAACCAATATTAAGAGTAAACTATGTACATGCATTGTCACTGCAGTCCTGCTTCAGTGGTGTCACTATCATACACTTGTTCCAACCCCACGCTAATAACTTAGTGTATTATTTGACCTCCGATAAGGGACCCTCTGAGATGGGGACGACCTCTCTACAAAGGACACTTGCTTCAACCCCATACTTTAGTGTATTATTTGACCTCCGAGATAGGGACAACCTCTCTACAAGGGACAAAATCGTTGGCCCCATAGTGTCCCTTGTTCAGAGGTTCCACTGTATTCTATAGTGTAACTTCTCACATGTTCACCTGAATGATGGTGTTCTATAGCAGTAGTGTGACTATATATACCTGAATGGTGGTGTTCTATAGCAGTAGTGTGACTATGTATAGGTTTGATGGCGGAAGGTGAGCTCTATGAGCGCGCAGTGCGAATAGAGCTCACTTTCAGTCATCAAACCTACTTGGTGCACGTCTCTGTAGTAACTATGGATGCCACCCTTTTTAGGAAAGTGTTGTGTAAGCGCTTGACAGTATATACATGCACAGTGCTTGAAAAGCCAAGTGGGTGTTGATTAGCTCAGCCCTCTGCTGTTGGTGGTGTACAGCTAAGTGGGTGTTACTACAAGCCAATAGTTGCCGGGCAACGTGCACCCGGTGTTCTATAGCAGTAAACCTGAATGAAGGCGTTCTATAGCAGTAGTGTCACTATATATACCTGAATGACAGTGTTGTGGTAGAGGACAGGAGTACCCATCTGTTTGGTCGTCTCCTCGTCACTTCTACTCCGCTCCTGATCTGCTGCAGCCTAAAGTACAAATACACAAACATCAGAGCTGCACATTATGTACAAATAAAGTATAGTCAGCAGTCTATCTCTCTCTATATATAGCAATCTTTGATTCTTGCACGATGTGCCCATGACAATATTTCCCCGGCTCTTATATTGACAGCATGAAATTCCTTTTAGTATGAAATTTTTTTTTAATGGTCCCTGTAGTTCATATTAACGAGGTTCAACTGTACATGAAATTTTGAGGTCAGACCTGCAGTTTTTGAAGAATGACGACATCGGGCATACTTCTGGCCGTAGCTGTGGCCTTGCGGAACTGCTCCTGCGCTGAATAGCGGTGCATTGGGACTATCTTGAACAGAGAGTCTGCGAGAGAAGGAGAGAGGGAGAGAAAGAGTATGGGAGAAATAATGAATGCTAATGTATGATTCATTAGAGTGGAACTTATGACAAGGGACCCTCCGAGATAGGGACGACATCTGTGCAAAGGACAAAATCGTTGGCCACTTTTAGTGTCCTTTTTTGGAGGTTCCACTGTATAAAGCATCACCACCACGGAGTAAACTTAAAAGGGAACGTGGCAATACGTAATGGCTAAATTAAGAAACGTCACTAAAGATAGAACAAAACAGTAGGGCCCAGTGCAAGAGTGCTCTAAATTTAAAATTCCCCTGAAGGACGGAGTCCTGATGGGTCAAGTTGACTTGTTTGCTCTACCTACCTCGTTGCTGTTACATGTGTGTAAAGGTACATTGTATGTCGTATAATGACTACCTCTGAATTTGGCGGGTGGGTTGTCAAGATCCCCCTCATCAGGTTTGACTACCACTCGGTCGTCAACCAGGCTACGGAGGAAGAACAAGTGGGGGGTGAAGAAGAAGAGAATGAGGCAGAGAGGTTGGAGGAAGGTCAGAGGAAAAGTTGTGTGTGTGTGCAAGAGAGCAAAAAGTGCAGTAGTGTGATGTAATACAAGGAGGTGAATAACACGATATCTTGGTCCCCTGGGTAACCAACTATCCATGTCAGATTCCTCACGGCACTTTCCACTGTTTGGACAACACAAACCCACCCTCCCTCTCTTCCTCTCCCCCTCTCCCTCCTCCCTTCCCCCTCTCCCTCCTTTCTCCTCCCTCTCCCTCCTTTCTCCTCCTCTCTCCTCCATCTCTCCCTCCCTCTCCCTCCTCTCTCCTCCCTCCCTCTTCTCCCTCCCTCTCCCTTCTCCCATGTGCCACAGGTGTACAAATACATCAACAGCAGTGTGCCCTAATGAACATCACTACATAGGTCCCAGCCAGTCATGCAATTAGTTATAGAGGGCACAGCTCCAAATTCAACACCGGCCCTCCTATATGTCACATACCACGTGTACCACTGCATCCATTCATATGCATACCACATGCACACACATAATTACATACCTATAATATGTAATATGTATGTAATTGTATACACATGTAGTAGGCATGTCAATACCACCTACTCACTCCCACACAGGATAAGGTTTATATATACATACATAGCCAAAGGTGATAATGGTCATTAAAATAATATGCTTTGCCCTATAATCATAAGGGTGTACAAATTCAGATGCGTGATATTGGTCTGTATAATATCAATGGAAGTTATGTACCTATCCTCATATTCAACTTAATACGAGGCATGATTACAGTATATAACTTCAATATTGTGCAAATGAAGAGCTTTTCTAAGAAAGGTTGTAGCTGTAACACCAGGCGGGGGAACAATTATGGGGATTGTGTCATGGGCTCAGGGAGTGTCATGACAACTCACAATGTACTGCATAAACGTACATACAGTATTATACTGCACCCATTCCCCATACATTACTAGAGATGCCAAGTGAAGGTATTCAGCCTCCGTATGTAATCCTCAGTAATTCTCTTCTATGTTGTGTTCCAATGCATTGGAGAGTAATGCCAGGGAGGCCTGTGCTATAATATATATATATATATATATATATATAGATGCCCTTTCCACGGAGTTAAAATGTATGCAAGAAACTCCTGTTAGGGAGACAAAAACCTAAGGTGTCCTAATTAGAGAGGTGTCCTCATTTCTGGGTGTCCTTGAGAGAGGGGGTTCCACCGCACATACTGTTAATGGACGGGAAAAAACAGTATACCCGTGGTATAATAATCTACAGGAATTTTCAGGTGGAAATCTCAAATCACCAAAGAGGACTATCCAACACACACACACACAATAATATGTGCATAACCAACTTAAAAAAACACAGTGCTGCAGCTAAGAGAGCACTAAGTATGCACAAACACAGCCAAAAAGAGCCCTGGTATGTGTCGAGTTTTTCAAAGGACATGCAGACTATGTTGACGGTCAGCAACGCAGCAAGCACACTTATGTATAAACAACCTTAGCATGCCATATGCTAGGATGAAGTAGTGTGTAGGCATGCCTAAACCCAAAAGCTACCGTCCCTACTAAGTAACTAATACATGACTCCTGGCACTGGAGCCAACGCAAGCACATGTCAACATTGATACGTGGCGCAACATCCAGATATATACCCATCATCCTCACACATTTAAATTTCCTCTGTCTCACGCGACAAAGTTGTGCCGTGCACGTTGGCCTTTTACACTACATGTGTGCACAGTTATTAAAACACACAGACCACTGTGCAGAGAGCGTACAGCAGGGTGTCTTACCCGAGTGTACTGATGAAACCCGAGACCGAAGTGCCCGATCCCTCGGCAAAGAACGACACGATGTCTCCCACGTGCAGGTAGGAGCAACGGCTCTCGCTCACCTCGACCTTGAACGCCATGATCTGTCGGCTCCGATCGTGAGTCACGATCGTGGACACAAACTGCGATCGATCCGCAGTCCAGCCGTTCCGCGCTCCAGCGGGAATATTTGACGGAGCAAGAGACAGGAGAGGGTCGACCAGGCGGTAGTAGGATAGCTAGACACTAGCAGTGACCTGAGAAGACGGCGGGGAAAACTTTGCGTTCCGCCGTGGGGGCAGGAGCGGAATTTCCTGACCTTTCAACCCTGCTTCGGGCGACGTATTTACAAACGCATGCGCACATTTCCCGCGCGTATAATTATAGGCGCGTATGCGCGTTTTCAACTTGAGCCGAGCCGGACGTCAGTCAACTTCCCAATTATTATGAGTGTGCTTCTGTACTCAGGCAAAAGTGTTGCTAGGAAGGTTCACTATGATTTTCCAGGTCCAGATAAGAGAAAAAATGTCTATCATCACCACGCCTCGTCTGTAGCTATCTCTCATTATGCTGCTGAAACAAGTAGCTTAGTGCTACCGAAACATTTGGCTTTAGTCAGTGACATAGGATATAATATACCCATTTTGGTGAAAACCTGAATTACTAGTCTTGCCATGGTGATTACTGCACATCATTCAAAAGCTGAAGTGTCCTATTGAAGATTGCATCGTAGATGCCAAGTTATGTGGTCATGTATGCTATGATCAGCAGATTCTGGATAAGGATTTTCCATTATCGAACCTCAAGTTTTTGTTCAAGATTTGCTCAGAATAGTTTTAAGTGGGTAGAGCTAATCCAGCGATGTATATTATTATATACACTCCAGTAGTTCGTTCCACTCTATATTTAACACTTAATCAGCCACGGACTTTCGGCAGCCTCCATGACTCCATAAGAATTTATATGGGGTTATAATACTAGGCACTAATACCTTAAACATCATATTCTGCTTATTTAAGCAGATATATACCAATGGAGTCCAAAGGGTTTAAGGATGGTGCAGGTGACACACTGCTCATATATACATACACACGAGCAACAACTAATGGGGCCCATCTCTAGCTACGAGATATCATGATTTTTGATTTTGCAACTATCTCCTTACTGAAACTGGTTCAAGCACTGATTTTTAGGTGTTCACAGACATTTTGTTTTTTTCTGCCCTCTACGGCAGATTGTGAAGCTCTTCATGGTATATATTATAGACATTGATGAACAACACCATTTTGCAGTCATTAGTTCCCGGTCACATTTTTACAAAATGGACCAGTATATAGTTGATTTAGGAGCTCTGCCTTAGGTTGAGAATAACAGAGTCCAGCAGGCCACTAGTCCACTCTGTCTACTCTCATTTTCCTTAGTAGCCATGGTCTTAGTAATGTGGTCTTAGTATGTGAGTATACTTTCTGGTAGGATAGCAGCTTATATTTATTCTCTTTGAGGGAAAATCATGTTAGCTACAATAGTATAATTGACACAATAAGTTCACACAACTAGTGCATCGACACATAAATATTGCACAAGGTACTAAAAGAATTCAGGATCTCAAGCGTTGTTGCTTGATGCTGCGCCAATCACGACTCCTCCTATCCCTAAACCAAGTCCACCCACAGCTCCACCAACCACCACACCCACTGCAGCACCTAACGGTCCCCCCAAAAACCCAACCCCTGCTCCTGTTGCAGCTCCTCCTGCAATCCCTATCAGAACTCCTTTCATCCCTCTCTGTACCTGTGGGCTTGATCTTATCCCCGTACGTGCTTCCCTCACGAAATGCTCACAGTTGCTTCTCAAAAAGCCATAGTCTTCATCATCACCAAAAATAACTCTGGCCCTTCTGATGATCTCCTCTCCATCATAGGGACATTCATAGTTAAGCACCGTGATTTGCCGAGGTTCATAAGACCCCGCTTCCTCCACAAAGCCAACGTCGTCCAGCTTGTGGATAACTAACAGACGATTTTCATCGATCACTCGTACGACAAGGAGATGGTGTCCATAAAAAAGTTTCAATCTACCTCCCACGACAATGTGGTCTCCAGTTTTCAGGTCTAAAAGAGAACGAATTGGGCTCTCTGATTCTGGCGCCGCAGAACGTCCGGCCATTTTGGCTCGAAACGCTATTTCATACGCATATGTAACAATAGACCCGGCATGTGATGCATGTCAACGTCGTGTCGTACGTAGCTATACGTAGAGAGATAGCTCAGCATAGTAGCCTTGGCCCAAGTCTTCCTGCTGTGTATATAGTATAATTATATCTATAGCTACGCAGGCCCGTTTGCTAAGGTGGCTGGTTTTTGACTGGTAGCTTAGTAGCTATAGAAATCTAGCTATTATCATTCAGCAAATGGGCTTTGCCCCTTGGTAAAATAATCATGATTCACGCTGGCATTATATAGAGTTTCAGTGCGATAATGAAAAAGTGTGACGGTCAATGTACGTAATGAATGAAGCACTACTTTCGCAGGCGGGCCCAGTTCTGTGGTTCACTTCATTCAGCAGTCAATTTTCTCCTTCAAACTTAAATTTAGCACGAGTCACAAAGTCTTTTTCGTTGAGGTGCTCAGGATTGTCAAGATTATTTAACGCATTTTCAACTGCCTCTTCAGCCGCCACTCTACACTGGTATTCCAAAACCCTGATATATTTAGGGTTGAGCATGACTTCTTTATTACTTGCTCCAACTTCAGTTGCTTGAACAACGCGGACCTTGCCGTCCTTCGTAGGAGTTTTTACCACCAGCATATGGCCGCCGCAGCATGAAGAAAAAAGGTTCGGCGAAGGGTTCAAACTCCGCAGCCATTCCAACCAGCTCTCAGAGGGGTTTGGCGCATTAGTGACAAAGATGTGATCTCCTTCTTTAAGTTCTCTCACGGACCCCACCCTCCTTCTTCTTTCAGCCATCATGACGACGAAACGGTGACGAAAAAACGCGCGCGCGCATGGGTATCTACAGGCGTCAACGCACGCGCGTCGAGGGCGCGCGCAGTATTCACAGATCGTAAAACTCAAGATATAGTCACTTGACTTTATACCTTGAAAACTGCTAATCCCTAGTCGTCGCAACGGGCCGATTTTTCTATATTATATTGGCGAGCGGGAGCGAGCTAACCTAATGGTACGAACGAACGAACGGCGCGGATTCGTACGTCGTCCAACTGCGCATGCTCCAGGATTACGCGTTAAAAAAACATGCTTCCTGTCGTAATGTCGTGCGCGTATACATGTACGCTTGTGTGTAACTAACTTCGTACTCTCGCAATCATGGAAGGATCAGTCCAGAGAAGATGCCCTTCGTCGTCGAAGAGAGAGGGAAAGAGAACGTCGTGCCCGTGAGACTCCTGAGCAGAGAGAGGCTCGTCTGTATCAACGTCGCTTGCGTGATGGGGAACGCACTTATTTCACACGTTGCCTAGCTGTCATATCGACCCAGATACCTCCAAACAAAGATCTACAATCTGATTGCAGAACGGCCAATCAATATGACGTGCATCTTCAGTCCGAAGACTTTAGGTATATAGGCAAGGCCTTGCATACCAGAAGAGAGGTTCGGATACTACAGCTTTAGGACAAGGATTAGGTTCCCCTGTCAAGATACCAGATGTTCACCTCCCATTGTGGGCGGAGCGGCTTGGTAGAGACCTCTTTCCTTGGAGGAGGGGTGGGGTGTGGACGCGAGACTAGGTGATCAATAGCCTAGTCTGGTGTCCACAATCAATGCTACACTCTGCAGCACTGTGGTGAGTGGGTCCTAATAATAAAGCAATTTGGATGACATTTATTTTTAATTAACGTCAAAAGATACCAGATGTTCCGGCCTTTGCAGGTGGAGCAGTTGAGTACCAACAAGCTCCCTAATTCTTGTTACCCTTCCTTTGTTCATAGGTTGTTTCTGCTCACAGTGAAGGGCTACAGAACCTCGTGCTTTTTCCAGTCATAATATAGGGAAATGAACTTGCGACTGTATTAAAGTGTTTTCGGCAGATGAAAATAGCTGGACTCGATCCCAATCCTTGCATCAGTACACAGGAGCAACGTGTTCCAATAATAGAGTATAGGGACAGTTAAACTCTACCATGTCAAGTGTTCTTTAGAAAGGTAGCTATAGGTAGTGCATGTCTCTAGGTTATCACCACAACAAAGTAAACACCATACATACAATTTAAGCATAATTATAATTATTGTAAACTACACAGCTACACGATGCACAATAGGTTCTATACTGCTATTTCTCCATAAGCAGAGTTGATATCAGTGGGTGTGTCTGCACCTTCATTCACGGCCTTGTTTTGATTGGGATTAAGTCCAATCTCCTCTTCAGCTGTAATGAAATCATCGGTCATGCACCAACTGTTAGCTTGTTCTTTTACAAAAATTGCAAAACACAACAACACACAGAGTACAGTCCCCTTAGTAGGAGTTCTAATTAGCCCGCTGTATAGCCTAGGCAGAATGCCCTTATGTCACGTATGGAGTCAGGGCAAAGAATGACCATTCGTACAAGGCATACACATTATATCAGGATAGACATGGGAGTAAACGGACACTACACATGCACATTACACTGCATGGATCACGAATGGTCATACATAATAGTCTCAATAGACACATTTTCCTACTGAGCTACAGCAGGTAGGACTGTACAGTACAATACAGAGGCAAACTTTACACATCCAAGGTCACCTTAATGACTTACCAATAAAAGGTAAACTTGAGGCTTCAAAACTGGGTAGGTTTAGAAGCTCCAGGTAGCCAGAATCCTTCTCCAGTAAACTGTTTATTGTAGTAACCAGTCTGCTGAACCTGGGACGCATAGCTGCATCCAACTTCCAGCATGAACCCATAAGTTGGTATCTGAAATGAATATAATATTATCATCAATCATGAAAAATTAAAATCAGCCAGCTTCTTGTTGCAGTAATTATGACAAGAACTAATATTCAAATTTAGAAGAATGGAATAGGCAATGGAGCTGTTCAATATCTCTTTGCTGGTAAAAATGGTATGCAAATAAACACTGACATGTCGTCACTGCTGGCTTTATTGTCAGGGATCTCCAGAACTGCTCCTCTTTCCAGCTCTGGGAGAATGCCCATGGCATGTATTCCATTATAGGGCACATTCCCACATGTAAAAATTTCCCACATTGTCACACCAAATGACCACTGCAATAAATACATTTGTTTGCACATTCCAGGAAAGACTTTATTTTTCTCACAACATCAGTAGCCTCATTGTAGATGTCATTCTTGATGCTCTCAGGAGCCATCCATCTAATGGGGACTTTCTCTTCACCGCCAGGTTCACTTTTGTCTCGACGAAAGTACTTTCTGCAGTACATATCTTCTGTTAGTCCAAAATCAGCAACTTTTACGATTCCCTTTCCATCAATCCTGAAAAGAGACAGTTTAAACGTGGAACATTAGAACTAGTCCTAAATCAGACATGCAGTTCCTTGCTGCCAAGTCACGATGAACAAACTTGTGTCATGAAAGGTATTCCATCCCCTTGGTGATGTGGTATGCCATATTTAGCATAATCCTACGGGCTTCTTCCATCTAATATCATGAAGTGATCTCTGAAAGTGTTTTTGTAATTATAGTTACACACCTTTTCCTTCGCACATTCATTCACAAACAGCAGTTTCTCCTTGTGACGTTTGACATAGTGTAAATACTTCCATTAATCATGAATGGCTGATAAGGAGGGGCATTTCTCTATCAATGCACACTCCAATAAGAGACATCACATTAGTGTGCTCGAACGACAACATTGTAGACACCTCCCTTGCCAGTCTCCCAGATCACAGTAGAGAATAGTGCTAGGGTGTTTCAGTTGTATATATTCCTTGATAAGTCACGAAAATGAAATTGATGTATATACCTTTTCCTGTTTTTACTGCAACAAGTTTGTTTCCAACTGCACTTTTGATATAGGCTTTGTAAACCAGCCCAGACTCCCCTACATACATGTGCACTATAGTGAAGCAAGAAATGCCATGAAAAGATAAACCCTACCTTGTCCCACAGTTGTGGATAACTGTATTTGATCTTTTGAATAGATCATATTCTTATTTTGTAGCTCTTCTCGCAGGTGTTGAGTCTGATTGACTGGCTGCTCTCACCTGTAATCAAAACTGGAGTAGAACATTTGCATCAGCAAACCTTTCATTTGTACCCAGAGTATCATAAACGTTTGAATTACAGCATCATGAGGCAACAGCACACAGCTCTTTGTGCCTGGATGTAAACAGAACGCAGATTCATAGTAATTGTGACAAAGGTGAAAAAGCTCACTGATTATATTGTCTCCATCTCCTATACAGCATAACAATTACAATAATAGCTAATAGTGACAAGCATGTTACTAGTACAATTGCTGCAACAGTTGCACACCATTTAGAGAACGAATTTGATGAAATTTGTGCTGAACATCCACATCTTTCTGGCATTTGAACATCCACATCCATTGTTGATTTATCCACATCAATGAACACGGTTGCTTCGTTGTGCTTCTCCCAGCTGATAAAGAAAATTTAGTTTTAGTGCAGTTGGGAAATATTGACAGAGGCACTTGAGGTAAATCAACAGACAGGTCGAAACACTGATATCAGTCAAGTTTGTTTGATTAACCTCAAAATACAGTCTTCCTGGTATAGGTGCCATTAAACTGCATGTGGGTAAAAGCATGTGGGCATTTTGAAAGCATTAAAATATTTCAACGTACATTTTTGCCATTATGAAGACGTGATGTTGATGAAAAACTGCTCCTCTATTCCAGAGATGTGCTGTTCACACAAACTTCAACAGACTTATAATTCTCAGAAGGCTGACGACACTGGGTTTTTCAAACCCAACCCTCACGACTATGAGACAAATTTGCAGAAATATGGAATGCCGAACCTCTATGTTTACGTATAGGTATCCCTCGATGTTTACCGCTATCTTCATAGGCATACTTTAAATGAGGAAGTAATATGATACCCCTGTACATACTAACTTACAGCACTCCATTTCTGAAGTATCGTCATGACAATGGTTGCAAGAGAACGTTTTAGAATCTATCCTTATTGGTCTTTTCCGCAGTCGCAATATTGCAAGTCTGATCTGAAAAGCCTTGTTGAGGTATTCCTAGTTCACACATGTTATCATCCTTAATGCTGTAATTGTGACACTCCACTGATGCTCCAATCACAAACTCTAATGTCTTGTAACAGTCTTTTGGCTGCATTTGCCGTCTCAAACCCTGTTATTACTATGAAAATATTCATAGTCCGGTGTTACACTTATGTATACCTTCATCAGGTAGTAGAGCAATCGAGAATGGCTCTAAAGCCTCTCCATTAATGAGTTTAGGATCTTAACACAAACAGATACCTCTCCAAGAGACTCAGTAGTTTGTGTATTCTTTAGAACTAAAGCCAATCACCTACCTGTGTGAAGAGTGTATATGAATGAGTGCAAAGGGATAGGTTTTTCATACAGTACAGTTTGACATACAACTTGACACATACATGTATGGTAATAAAGATCTCTAGTTGGAGGGATCTACGGGATTTCAATGAAACCAATGGTCTCTGTATTTGGAGCAGTGAGGACACTACACAGGAGGCCCCAGCCATAGGGTTCACTGAAACCCAATGGATACTAGTTTTGGTCAACTGTGCTATGAGAAAACTCAAAAAAAGTTAAAGTGCTAGATTTCGAATGCAAATAAGCCCACATACTTGATTACGTCATCATCCATGATGGTGACAACTGCGACTCAGGACTGAGACTAATCCTACTGTCAAGGTTCGGGGTCCTCTCCAGTACAATGCCAAAGGATTCATCATACTCAGTAATGTTGTCATTCAGAATTGATATATCTGCACATGCCTTATTCTGACAAGCACTGAACCTCAGATATACTGGAGAATGTCCGTAGTCATTCCGGTATACTGTAAAATTTATGTCATTATCTCTAAAACACACTCTTTTGAGTTCCTACCAGCACTCATGTCTCGAAGGTTGAGTGAGACTTCAAACTCGTAGTTTACAGCACAATCAATGATGTCTGATGTGTTTAGCACACCACACACCACTACTGATAATCTATTCTCTGACACATTATACCTGCTATGCTCTCGAGTGACCGTAACGTAATCTGGAAGTGTACGTCATAAAGAAACAAAAAAGTGTTGTGCAAGGAGATTAGTATGGTACTGCTGTAAAAGATATATTTCACACTTACGATCATCATCAACAATCGTGATTGTAGCTTGGGAATCAGCTCTCTCAGGAATCAGTGTTATGACACCAGTTGGGCTTGCCAGACCCAGCACTACAGTCTTATTTCCTTCCACAAGGTCGTTATTGGCAACTTTCAAACGGAAACATTCCATGTAAGTTGATTTAGAGGAACTATTTGTCACAAACTGATCCTTAGCCTTAGAATAAGTGAGAGTCTCGATTGATTCATCCATTCCTTCGTAATCTAAAAACAACACATGTAGCCACAACTGTGCACTTATATAGAATGCTATGATAATAATAATACCTAATGAGGACGATGTGTCGTTGAATATCACTATAGACACACTGCTAGCTTCGATTAGTGGACTCTCAAACGAATTGCTAGACACAAGTGAAATGCAAACTCTTAGTCTCCTTTCTGCATCCTCTCTCACAGTCAAGGTATTAGGATAGAAGACAGCAGTGACATCTGCATGCAACATGACACACACTATGAAGATGGTTTCTCTTTGAATATAATGTTATTGGCATACCGTAAGATATGGTCTCATATATAAACAGTCTCGCAACTTCAACATAGCGCACGCCTAGAGTAGTAACAGTCAGAACAATCCTGTATCTATCTACTGGAGCAGTAAACATGGCCAAAACTATCTGAGAGCGAAAGCAGTACTGTGTTTGATTTGTTCTGATAACAAAGTACAAACTGGAGTTTGTTAGTCCTGCAATAGAAATTAATGTAAACAGAATTAAGCATAATGCCATAGTTAGAGTTATACCTTGGGGTTCTCTACCGAAAGAATCATATGTAATGATAGATGCATGGATAGGAGGTAAAGCATCCTCTCCCATATCGAACTGGGTTTGCTGAAGACCTAAAATTACACATATGTCTTGGGTGACTCCATCCATTGCACTTCCATAATAGTTATTTTGATCAAATTCAGCTCTCACTTTTGGAAATGAAATATTAAACTATTATCCCAAGCACGTCAAAGATTTGGACAAAATACCTATGCATACTCATCTGAATACTCAATAAACCCAGGCAGACAGTCGCCACAACTGACACCAGTCTCAGACGGAATGCATTCCCTATTGTAGGGACATCCTCCGTAGTATGGCATGAGACACTTGTCTGTAAAACACACAAGTGGAAGAGTCATACAGGGATGGCTTGAAACACCAAAACAGAAAGTAATGTGGAGTGGTTGGTTACACAGCAAAGGCACAAAAGTTACACAACACCATTTCTTTTATGCTGACACTCCAACACTATCATGTTGTATAGTAATCAATGACACTCGGCATACATTATACAGGAGTGTTTATATTACTTACTCTCACAGAGAACATTAGTCTCATCCTCTCCATTCTCACAGTCTTTGACACCGTTACACAGAGCATCAATGAGAAGGTACTCCTCAGTTGAAGAGCACTGAAATGTCCTGTTACCTGATATTGAAAATAAAACTTACTCACCCATTCCCACGGTAGCTACTTGGTAGCAAAAAGTAGGTGGACAGAAAGTTCATGAATAGACAGTCGAAATGTTGTGGTCAAGTTACGTTTGCAGGTGTTTCACGTATATTTTGCTTTCATTCAACTCTGTTGGCTTATTTGTGTAGATGGTGATTGGGATGGCTTTCTCCTGTGATATATACTATAAAGGACATTCTTGGCTTCTGATTAGCTCTAGGTGTTTCATAGCTACTTCAGATCTGGAGACAAAAATCTAACGTACAATATAATATGGTGTGTGGTAGGAGCAAAGCCGTACAGCAAAGAGTTCTCGGTAGTGAGTAAAAGTATCTCTCCTTGTGCCTGACATA